AGCAAAAAGAAAAAAGAATCCAGAAATATGAAGATAGTATAAGGAGCCTCTAGGACAACTTCAAGAGGCTCAACATTCGTATTATTGAGGTGAAAGAAGGGGAAGAAAGAGAGCAAGAAATTAAAAACCTATTTGAAAAAATAGTTATAGAAAACTTCCCCTACCTGGGGAAAGAAATCGACTTTCAAGTCCAGGAAGCACAGAGGGTCCCAAACAAGAGGAACCCAAAGAGGCCCACAGCAAGACACATCATAATTAAAATGCCAAAGGTTAAAGACAAAGAGAGAATCTTAAAAGCAGCAAGAGAAAAGCAATTAGTTACCTACAAGGGAGCACCCATACAACTGTCAGCTGATTTCTCAACAGAAACTTTGCAGGCCAGAAGAGAGTGGCAAGAAATATTCAAAGTGATGAAAAACATGGAACTACAACCAAGATTGCTCTACNGGAGCACCCATACAACTGTCAGCTGATTTCTCAACAGAAACTTTGCAGGCCAGAAGAGAGTGGCAAGAAATATTCAAAGTGATGAAAAACAGAACTACAACCAAGATTGCTCTACCCAGCAAAGCTATCATTTAGAACTGAAGGTCAGATAAAGAGTTTCACAGATAAGAAAAAGCTAAAGGAGTTCATCACCACCAGACCAGCACTACAGGAAAAGTTGAAAGGTCTGCTTTAAGAAGAAGTTAATGAACAAAAGAATCTGATGAACCAAATAGATCCAGAGACACTGATGCATGCAACAGACGATCATATTTCAGAGGAAAGAGGGAAGGGGGGTGGAGGGTGGGAAGAGATTAACCAAAGAAGTTATATGCATATATGCATAACCCGTGGACACAGTCAATAATGGGGTGAAGGCCTGGGGAGGGGGTGGGAGCAAAGTGAAGGGGACCAATTGGGAGGAAAAAATGGGACACCTGTAATACTTTCAACAATAAAGATAAATTTAAAAAAAAACAAAAAATATATACATTTATATTTCTGCACTCAATTTTTAACCACTCCACCCCCCCCAAATATCCAAGCTCTTAGTCTTCAGGTAGTTAACATATATGTGGACTACACATACACAAACACACACACGCGCGCGCATGTGCACACATGAACCACCACCGCCACATCTACAGGTAACAAGGGCCGTTGAAAGAAATTCAGGCCCTGCTGGCATGGCTCAGTGGTGGAGCATCAACCTAGGATCCAGGAGATCGCGGTTCGATTCCCAGTCAGGGCACATGCCCAGGTTGCGGGCTAGATCCCCAGTCGGGGGTGTGCAGGAGGCAGCCAATCAATGACTCTCTCATCATTGTTGTTTCTATCTCTCTCTCCCTCTCCCTTCCTCTCTCTGAAATCAATAAAGATATATTTAAAAAAAGAAACTCAGTATTATGTCAGGTTTAGCCAACCCCTATGATGATAGTGGAAGTGAGCAAACACACCCACCAGCTCACCTCAGTGACAGGTCATCCTATTATCTATTATTCCTAGCAGAAAGCAGGTTCATTAAAAAACGAAAATTTAGGAATAAATCTAACAAAAGACATGCTTACACACTGAAAACTACAAAACACTGCTGAGGGGAAATTAACGAAGATCTAGATAAACGAAAGGCATCTCATATTCATGGATCAGAAGACTTAATACTAGTAAAATTAAAAAAAAAAAAAAGAAAAAGATCAGCAGGCTTCTGCAGAAATTGACAGGATGATCCTAAAATTTATATAAAATCGCAAAAGACCTAGAATAGACAGACAAATTTTGAGAAAGAAGAACAAAGTTGGAGGACTTTCACTTCCTGGTTTCAAAACTACTCCGGGAAAGAAGTCTTTCAGAAAGTGACGCTGAGGCGATCTGGATACCCACACGCAAAGAGATGAATTCAGGCCCTCGACTCACGCCATACACAAAAGGTAACTCAAAATGGATCACAGACTTCAATGTAAGGGTTAAAACGAAACTCTTGGAAGATAAAAGAAAATCTTTGAGACCCTGAGTTATAACTGTAAGGATGTTATAGATATCATACCAAAAGCACAGTCTATAAAAGAAAAAATTGATAAATTTGACATCAAAAGTAAAGCTTTAGCACTTCAAAAGACACCATTAAGAAAATGAAAAGACCAACAACAGAGGATGAGAAGATATTTGCAAAACATATTATCTAAGAGGATTTGTATCCAGACTATGCAAAGAACTCTTGTACCTCAGTAAGATAATCAACCCAGCCCTGGCCAGTCTGGCTCAGTGGTTAGAGCATCGGCCCATGGACTCAAGGGTCCAGGGTTTGATTCTGGCTAAGGGAATGTACCTGGGTTGCAGGCTCAATCCCTGGCCTGGGTCAGGGCACATGCGGGAGGCAGCCAAATCATGTGTGTCTCACATCAATGTTTCTCTCTCTCTCCACCCCCTTCCCCTCCTCCCTACTGTCTCTGAAAAGCAATGGAAAAATATCCTTGGGCAAGGATTACCAAAAAAAAAAAAAAAAGGTAATCAAGACAGGCAAAAATAGATAAAAGATTTGAGTAAAGATCACTTAAGAAGATATATGACACATGCACACCCAGGCCCAATAGAGGCAGCCACAAACAGCGAAGTATGTGTTAGCTCCAAACAGCCCAAGGCTGGTTATGGGCAGTGTATGAGGTCAACCTGCACTGGAACCCTGCCCAAGTGGACCCAAAACCAACACAACCAATGGTGGGCTTCAGACACCTGAGAGCTTGGCCCAACTAACCACATAAGAGGCATACAAAGGGAGATCCCGGCAGGTTCCAGACCCTGCTGGAAACAATTCTACCTCAGGCAGCAGCCCCTGCACTGCAGCTCATACACTGTGATCGAGGTCTGTCCTTATAGTCAACCAGCCCGAGGGTTAACCCCACCCACAAACAGGCCAATAGCATTCAAGACTTGGCTACAACAGGAGAGTACACGTAACCCACACATGAGACATTCCTGGAGCTCCTACCTCAGGTGATCTGGAAGATTGGGCCAATGAGTCCCACGACACACCTACCATATAAAACCATAACAAGTCTGGGAGTCACTGCAGATCTACCTAATACGCAGAGACAAACACAAAAAGGCAGACAAAATGGGGAGAAAAAGAAGCATGCCCCAAATGAAAGACAGGAGAAATTCCCAGAAAAAGAATTAAATGAGCCCGGCCGGGCGTGCCTTAGCGGTTGAGTGTTGACCAAGGATCCAGGCGATCAGGGTTCGATTCCCGGTCAGGGCATATGCCCAAGTTGCAGGCTCGATCAATGACTCTCTCACTGATGTTTCTATCTCTCTCTCTTCCTCTCCTTTCCTCTCTATGAAATCAATAAAGATATATTTAAAAAAAAAAAAAAAAAGAATGAAATGAAATGAAATGAAATGGA